TATTATATCTGTTGATAAATTTGACGTGTTCTAATGTGTTAGAATATGAATGACTAAAAATCAGCATTAACTTTCTGGACAGATCAATAATTAAAACAAAAGTAAGCATAAAACTACTCCTTTTAAAAAATGGATTCTCTCATTTTTTACCTGTTTGGTGTGCAACCTTTTTCCATTGTTTAAAGGTTAATTCTGTGTGGCAGCCTGGTGTTGGTGATACAAACTCTGTAGCAACCCTTTTCTCATTACACTGAAGCAGGATCATTGGTAGATGCAGATACCAACATGCCATAGTCATGGAGACTGGACCATTTTGTCCTTTGCCTGCATGTATGGTACCAAACTTAAAAAGAAATCAAACCACAACCTTTGTTGCTCCATGTTTGTGGGGAAATTAGTTAATATCAGTACATTGGAAATTGCAAAATGCTGAGAGATCAGAACAATATATAAAAAAACCTAAAACTCAAACATCAGCAAGATTAAAACTTGAAAGTCACAAAAAGAATTTTAAGAAAAAAATTGTGTAGGGAATGTAAATAAAAAATATGCAGAATATTCAAATCATTGACTAAAGACATGAAAGCAACCAAAATACCATCTTTAAGTCAACATCCCAAAGAGAAAGGTAATTTGGGCGAAGAAATACATGAAAACTGATTTTTCAAAAGTTATATTAAGGATGAATGTAAGTCTAAATTGGATGAACCTGATTGCTAAGGTAGAGGTTGGGTCTTTCATGGAAAATGTCAACCAACATGATTTAGAAGACAACAAGGAAGAGAGGTAGAAAAAGTTTTTGAGCTAGTGTTCTGGGCAGTAAAATTCCGGGTCCCTTCAAAGCAGATGATATTGTCAAGATAAATCCAGAGAATTAGTGCAAGTTCTTGGACAAGACATTTTTTTTGATGGGTACTGGCCCCTAGCCAAAATGCTTGAAGCTAAAGATAAACTTTACGCAAGATAATGCTCCTTCAATTTCTGCAAAGTTGATTCTTGCCCACCTTGCCAGAAAAAAATGTTTCAAAGACACAAAATGAATGAAATGGCTGCCAACCTCTTGAGATATTAATTCAATAGAAAAGATCTTGGAGAAGCAATAAAACTGCTGCAAGTTATGTTGAAGTTGAATGTTATCGAAATGGCATAAAGACAGATGAAGATCAAGGAATCTAAATTAAGATAAAAATAATTATTCCAGTGTATGAGATATTGGCTTAATCAATTTCTCAGGCTTATATCTTTTGGGGTTTATTTATAAATAAAAAAATGATGCTGCAAATTGCTGTAATAATAAAACCTGAAACCTTCAGTTCTCAATATTTTCTTTTATATAATGATAGCTATAACCAGCTGAAATTCACATGGTATACGTAGGTTAACATAAGTATATCTGGAAAAATTTAATCAATATCATCTGTTTAATACCAGTTTTATTATGAAAGTCTTGAAATGTATAATAAAATCTGACATTGTCAATATGCTGCTCAAAAATAATTATATTTGAAAGTTTGTTGTTCAGAATTCAGGAGTTATCTTATTTGCTTATTTTTTTTAAATTACAAAAAAAAAAAAAAATGATGCTGATGTTTTCATTCTTTTGTTTAGAAAATCATCTATTAAAAGTTTGATTCCTTAAGCTATTTCTTTCTAGGCAGTATCAGGTGACTTTGCTTGTCATATGTAATATACACACAGAAGGAAAAAGTATCACTTTTCAAACTGCATTTGTCATTAGAATTTAAAAATTTAATAGATTCTTTGTCAAAAGAAATATGTTTAGCTATATAGAAAGATTACATAATACTTATAAGAGTAACATTTAACTATTTAAATTAAAACTAAACATGCTATTGTACCAGCTCATAATTATTTTTTTCCAATTCAGAATCATTTGAAACTATGTATATATAGTATATATATATATATGTATATATATATATATATATATATATATATATATATATATATATATATATATATATATATATATATATATATATATAGATATAGATGTGTGTGTGTATATTTATATACTCCTGTGATAGTCACAATAAACTATTTAAATGCTTCTGATTTGTTGGTTCAAATGAAGCTGAAATTTCATAGCCAACTATGAGAGAAAATTATTGTGATAATTCCTTTTAATATTAACTGTGTATATGAAAGAATACTCCTGAATATACTATATTTGAACTCTTATTCTCATCTTTGACAGTATTATAGACACAGTGTTTCAACCAAGTACTCTCTGGCCATCTTCAAGTCTATAGGATATCTTATATGTTGATTATTGTCTTATTTTTAACTCTGTGATGATGGTTCTTGTTTATTCCTGCTAAACTGTATATATCATTTAACCCTTTGAGCCTTGCATTCCTGAACAATCTTAAACCCTTCTACCTGAGACCCTGAGTCAAAATTCACAAATAATTGCTATGTAATGTTTCACAGTTTTATATAAAAATAGTTACAGGTCTTTACCCATCATTTTACCAGTAGCTGAGCATTAAGTCATTTTTCTCTACCACTGTTCAACTGGTGGCTGAACACTGTCATTTTTTCTCTACCACCGGTAAAGCAGTGGTCAGGGCACAAAGGGTTAATGATTTGATGCAGGGATTGAACTCACAGCCACTGGATGACTTGACTAACCAACACTCATTTCCACTATGTTACTATCCCAAACAACTTTCTCAATGTCAAATTGTTGCAAAATATGGTTAGCATGGTTATTTAAAAAGTTTTTTTTTTTTTTTTTTGACTTTTATAGCTGAGGATTTACCAATATACTTTGTTTTATATTTCATTAAAAACGACTGATAAGTTACTGTAGTTAAGATTTTCATTTAATTTTTCCTGTGTTCTTATAATTTTCTTCTTTTCTGGACATAAATTATATAGCAATTGTCTGAATGTTTTGTATGCCCGAGCACTTTTGGCAATACTTTTAGTCATTACCAAGAGCAGTTTTATTTTTATTTTGAACTGAATATATGGATTGTTTTATTTATGTATCTAGAGTTATAGGAATGTTTTATTTTTCAGACATGGTCAGCACATTGTAACAGTGTTCATAATTGATGCTGAGTGTTGGCTTTTTCTTTTCATTAATAATGATTCCATTATTTTTAGCCATTTTTAAATGTGGATGAGGCTGTTATATTTGTATTATCAACAAGTATGTTATGGATGGAGTTTGGTAGATCTCCATATGTATTTAAACAAGGCCTAATTGAGCTATGGTCAGAGAGATGCAACATAAGTCTTCTTGTCAGGTATGTAGTGGTATATCCAATATAATTATTTATGAATTTGAATTGATCAGGAATATACAAAGTCTTCATCTCAAAAATCAAAACGGAAACCTTTATGAATGTTTAATAATTAATTTTAACTACTAATAAAATCATTGTATAGCTACACAACCTGGCATCTTATTTACTGAATTTGTATTGATAATTAATTTCTTAGCCACTGAATTTCTGGAGTTCAAATTTAGTCATTATTGTTGTTTAATAATTTATATTTTGGGAATGCAAATGTCATTGCCATAGCCAGAGGATATGGTCTAATTCAACTGAACCTGCCACCATCGACAATTTTAGTTTAACATGCTTGTGTTAAATATATGCCTCTATTAGTTTAAAAGAAAGAAAAATTTGAGGTGTTGATTTTCCCTTCCATATCTCAGAAGCAGCATATAATTTCTATATAACTTTTCTTACATATATAAGAGTGTTCAATTTGAAATACTGTTAAGAGCTTTTTAATATAAATAAAAATAAAATAACATTTTTGATTTGTTTATTGATTAACACTCATTTTGAAAAATTGCTATGCATGAAACAGCTGTTAATGAGTAAATAAATCAATTTTCTTTGTGATTGTGTGTGTGTGTATATATATATATATATATATATATATATATATATATATATTTTTATTTATTCCTTTTCTTTATATATATATATATAACAACTCAATTTGAACTACTTTAAAAAAGCTTTTTAATGGGTAGCTAAATCAAAAAATTTATTTGCATATACTCACACACACATTTTATCAAATTCAACCAACAAGGTCTATCTGTTTATTTTCTATTGTATTTTTACAATTTCCAAAGCAACAGAATGAACCTGACCTTTGGACAGTTTATCCACAATTTCGATCCTGATATAGAATATTTTATATGACAATTGCAAAATACAATAAAAAGATTAAGCAGACAGACCTTGTTGGCTGAATTTAATCAAACTTGTTTGAATGAATACATGCTACCTGTATATACGACATACACATGAATGGATAGTGAGGAATTGGAGACTGAATTTGAATTCCAGTCGTTTGTTACCTTCACTTACACTCAAATAGCTTTGGGAAAGCTATGAATCTCTCTTACTCTTCCAGTTATTGGTTAAATAGCAGAGCAAGCTGGGCTCTTTAGCCTTGGCTGGCAACCAGTTTAAGAGAACAAGAACACTGAATTCAAAACCTGAGGAAGGCTCTTTGAGGCACAATATGTGCACCAGTTCCCTGCATTCTTTTCTTCCAAGAAGTGTGGGTGGTTCTGCACAAGCCTTCACCACTTTAATCAAATCATATGTGCAGGATAGTCTCATAGTTGAATTCTAGGAGCTGAATTGTTGGACCTTTATGTCATAGGAGTACATCTCTCTCTCTCTCACACACACACACCTTAATATATATATGTATATTACCATTATTATATATATAGCGATTTTCTAAGCCCGGCTTAGATGTGGCACAAGGCCGAAAGTATGGGGTACCCAGTGAGGATCGAACTCACTACTCAGTGGTAATTGATCTAGTAAGACAAGCTTCCTAACCATTACACCACGTCGAGGTGCCCCCCATTATATATATATATATATATATATATATATATATATATATATATATATATATATATATATATATATATATATATATATATATATATATATATATATGCCTTTACACACAATGGTTTACAGCCTATATCATGTTGAAACACTGGTTCTCATACGATCACTAAAGTTAAGCAATGTCGAACCTGATCAGTACTTAGATGGGTGAGTGCTTGGCAATAACAGGTAATACCTCTAAACCTGGATGTGCAGGTGGTGTAATGGATAACAGATTGGAATTGAAAATTGGTAATCTCTGTTTCAATTTCACTCGGGTTAATTATATTCACTTCATTGCAAATACACTTGGGGAAAAGGTATGAATCCACCTCTTCTCCATCCCAGCTATGGGTTAATAGAACTTGTATCAATAAAAATCATTATAAAAATCTTTTTTTTTTTTTTTTTTTTTTTTGGCTGATATGTCTGTTGATTATGCTGTTATTAGTATCCCTGCAATGCCAGTTCAGGTTTGCTTCTGCTGAACCAACTTTCAATTTGGTCTGTTTCATATCTTTCTCAGACAAGCAAAATGCCAGAACTTTGTTCATGTGACACTCACATTTTTCTTTGTTCAGTTTTATGGTCATAACACATTGAAACACCATTTCCTGTATGATCACTGAAGTTAATCAACCTCATTAGTTAGATGGGTGACTGTTTGGGAATACCATATGCTGTAAGATTGGATGTGTGAATGGCGTAATGGATAATGGCTCATAATTGGAGAACTGACTGCCAATTCTGGTCGGGTTTGTTATATTTATCCATGTGCAAATATCCTTGGGAAAGTTGTGAATCCACCTCTTCTCCCACCATCTATGGGTTAATTAGTTTGAATTGTATCAGTAAATCATTATTTCCTGAAAAAATTTTACAATGTAAAAATATTTTCTGGCTTTAAATAATCTGCAAAGGGTTAAACCATAAGAAACAAATTAATCAATCACGCACAAGTATCGTTAATTCTGACAGCTGATTTTTCACTATATTGTTCAATGTGATTTAAAAAAAATAAAAATTAGTATTAAGGGAGTAGATTGTGTTGAGAAATATATCATGTAAAATAAATATATTTTTTTATCATTAGACCATAGTCTTTATATAAAAGACTCGTTAAAATGTATTCCTCGGAACATCTCAGATATGTTAATCTATTCTTAAGGTGACAGATGTTTTCTACCTTTTATGTTATTTTCTAAATTCTACACTATTTATCTTTTAATTGAAAATAATCGTTGCAGTGAATGAAATGTGATGCTATCATTGTTCTCTTCATCTGTAGACGTAGGAAGGTCTTTAGTGCATACTTGAGCTGCATTTCTGCAGTTATGATGTTAATAACTCTATTTTGGCGTTGACATATGTTTGGAAGCTTTTGTTAAAAACAACAAAACTTTTTGTTTGGCAAAGATGCAAATGAATAGCATTTATATAAATGCATAAAGTCTGGTTGCTCATTTCCGTATATATTCACCTGCAACAAACACCCACACAGATACATTTGTGTTTCTTCAACGCCCACATAGCCAACCTGTAGTTTATGCTGCAACAATGCTGAACAGATTTTACTTACATTTTCTTAGAAAGATTGCATAAGCTGGTGTGATCACTAATTGAACAAGACCGATGTATGTGAACCCTCGGTCATGATGACTTGTGACTTTATGCTAACAAATGGCTTCCAAACAGTTTCGTCTACCCAATTTCACTCACAGAGGAGGCACGGTAGAGTAATGGATAGCGGTTCGAATTCCAGTGAAATCCATTACATTCACTTATGTGCTAATACCCTTGGGAAAGGTATGAATCCTCTTCTTCTCCCTCTAGCTATGGGTAAATAGCAGAACAGACTAGGTTCTATAGCCTTGGAGGCAACTGGTCTAGAAGGACAACTTTGAATTCAAAACTCAATCGTCCAGGTTGGGGGCTGTGCAGTAGGGTAAATAACCTATTCACTTAAAAAAACAAAAAAAAACCCCAAGAAAACTGGTTTGTTACAGAAACTGCAATGATATCATGCAGCCCTATGTTCCTCAAGGAATTTAAAGGTATAATATATAGTGATTTTCCAAGCATAGTTTAGATGTGGTACAAGGTTGAAAGTATAAGGCACTGAGAACTCACTACTCAGTCATAATTGTTCTAGCAAGACAAACTTGCTAATCATTACACTGCCTCACAAGGCTTGGTCAAACTGTTGTATGATTTTTCAGGAACTTCCTAATAGTCTAGTCTCCTGAGGTGGCTGTTATGAAAAAGTGACCTCCTTTGGGAGATTTGAACCTGGTTCTCAAGGTCAGAATGGCAATGTTCTAACCACTCAGCCATATGCTGTATTAAATGTATAAAGCTACTGTTATGTATAAAAACTGCATTACATTAAAACTAGAAAACCTTTCATATTTAGACTATGATGTTGAACTAGACTAATAATGGCAAGTTTTCTGAAAAAGATAAAAAAAAAAAGAAAATTAAACAAAAGTATGTATTTCTTTGCAGGAATATATATATATATTTTTTTTTAAATATCACTTTGGAACAGTCATAACTTTTCTAAGATTCTTATTCTTTAATTGTGGATTGCCATGCATTCTTGGCAAAGATAATGGTGTGGTTTCCTATTGCTTTCTCTATGTGTTGGCATTCAGTTTTCCTTCTTTTAGACTGGTTGCCAAACAAGCCTAGAGAGCCTAGTTTACACTGCTCTTTAACTCAATGCTGGTAGCAGGGAGAGGAGAGGCAGATTCATACCTTTTCCAAGAGCATTAGTGTGAAAGTGAAAGCAGTAGACTAGCCTGGAATTTTAATTTTGTTTTAAATTTTACTGATTCTATTTTCAGCCCTGATGTCTGTTAAGAAGTGTGGGTGGTCTGTTAACTTAAAAAAAGAAAAGATTTTACTGCACTCTGAAATTCTTGATGGAGCAGGGACAAATGTCTTGATCTCTGATTGATGTACACAAATATCACAAATTGTCTTGATCTATGATTGACATGCAAAAAGATAATGACTGTCTTGATCTTTGATTGATGTACATAAACAGTTGCACACATGGGAATTATTTCTCAGATTTCTTGAACTGTTTAATTAATTTTTTTACCCAATTTGTTTTCAGCTGAACTCCATAAGGCTTTACATTAGTCCTCATCTTTATCGTCATATTCACAACGTTTCGGCCGTAGTACGCTCTGGCCTTCTTCAGGTGATATATGTTGGAATTTTAAACTAAACTCTTTATTTAGCCCATGGGGGTAGATTATTCTAGTTCCTGGATATCTCAGTTTCAATTAATTCCTTTTAGTAACTCAACTCTCTAAGTTTTCTTTTTATTGAACTCACAACTCTTTGGGTCAAATCACTGGATTACTTCAACCAACCCTTTTGTCCACTGGGCTATGTGTCCTTGGGGACATCAGTCAATGAATTTTTGGAACTTATAAACCTAATCTCTCAGTAATTGTTTTTTTTTTTTTTTTTTTTTTTACCAGAGCTCACATTTTATAATTTTTTTTATTGTTGTTTATCTTTAGCTCTCTGTATTACTGGTTCCCATATTGTATTCATGTCTGTGCTGAAGTTGAGATATCCAGAAAAGGCATGGCACATGGAACTAGAACAATCTACCCTTATGGACAAAATAAAGGGGTTGGTTTGAAATTTCAATGTATATCATCTGAAGAAAGCCAGAGTGTGCATTGGCCGAAACATTGGGAATATGACAATAAAGATGAGGACAACAGTCCAAACAATGTAAGTAGTGTAAATACCTCCTTTCAGAAATATAGACTGATCCATGAGGTTTATTTCCACCTGTTCTTAATCCTAAACCTCTCTTCTTTTTTTTTTTTTTTTCTATTTGCAGGGCTTGTATTATGCAGGACTTTTTTGGTACCAAGTTGGTAAACCTGAGAAAGCAAAAGAATATACTGATCGAGCATTGAAAATGAATGATCAAAATAAGCAGGTGAGCCATTGTCATTGTGTGTTCAGTCTTGTATTCTTATGTCTCTATTAAACTGATGTTTATTTATCTTGATTTCCTTTCTTTTTAAGTCATAAATTAAGTGCTAACGCCTTTAGCCAGGAACTAGCTTTTTGAATGTGAAGCAGATCTCCTCTTTTTACCTGTACATAAATATTAAATTCATGAATTTGATATGTTGTTTACATTCATCTAATTCATTTTGTGAAAATATCTTCTGGGAGATTAAAAAAAAAAATGTCATAAAGTAGAAGAAAGGAACAACATTTGAAAAAGACCTCTTTGAAATTGAAACCTCAGAAAAATTATGCTTTCCAAGGTTTATCAATTGGGATAGAATCTTGTTGACATGTAAAGAGTTAAAGTGTAGAAAAATAAACAGTAATTTTTGATTTGATATTTTTTTCTTTAAATTTATCATATTTCATTATACATTTAATAGTTTATTAAATTTTGGCTCAAATCCCAAAGAAGCTAGGAGAGAATATTTTGCTGTTAAGATATAATCTGTGTTTCTATAATTTCAATGGGGATAATAAAATAGTGATAAAATAAATTAAATTGCATTCTAGAGAATTCAATTACAAAGTATGTAAATAAGATTTGGCATTGGCTTGCATAGCATTTAAAAAGATCAATACTTATTTGTAAAGAAAATCTATGGTCTTTAACTGCTGGATAATTTGAAATTCAAAATCAGAAGTCGTGTAAACCATCAGAATCCTGGGGGCACCAAATAGACTGCAGCCATAGCTGCATTGAATGTGGCTATATTGAAATAACTTGATGGAGCCCAGTCTGCCCTATTAACAAGGCTTTGAATTCAGATTTTACTTTTTCCTAGACTGGATGGCACTCAAGGCAAATAGACTATTTTGTCCTGCTATTTAACATACACCTGTATGAAGATTGATTCATTCCTTTCTTATTTTTCACTTTTTATGAAGAGTATTAGTGCAAAGTGAATGAAACCGGCTTGACCAGAATTTGTTTGAATTTTTGTACATGCCTGTGTCCTTTTTCAATGGGATGAGGAATAAACAAAGGAGTGGGACTCTCTTCTGGGGGATGTTATTGTTCGTTAGAGGAAATTATAATCTGAGTAAACCCAAATCCCTGTTTAATCCTTCAATTTTATATATTGATCTCTTAGATCTTTGAAGCTCGATTTTCTTTTTAAACTGTATCCTGTATTACTGCAGTCTACATGAATATCTAGCTTCTGAAGACAAAAACATTCATTAGACATTAAAAAAAAAAAAACTGTTTAAATAACAAGTAAAAGCATCAAATTTCCCTCTTGCAAGAAATAGTTTATGGACTGTATATATTTGTCATTAGTGTCTCCTGATATCTATTGATAATTTAAATTTAACAGGAGGGCCGATCTTCTTTTACCATGTTAACCTTTGTTAATGGAAGATGAATTGCTACAACATTAAAAAATTATCTGAGTATTTTCAAACAATTTTTTTTTCTTTTTGAAGGTATGTCTCTCAGCATCAATAAAACATTATCATAAATGCATGGCCGTAACATTTAAGAAAACATCATCAAAGATTTCATTTTCAATTTAAATATATGTAGCGACTTAAATTCAATTTTTGTATGTTCTATAAAAACAAAAAATACTACTTTGATTTTATTTAACAAAATCTAAAATATTTTATCAAATGAATCCCAAAGGAAATAAACTTTTTTCTGTAATTAAATTTTTGTTTACTATAAATTACAATAAATAAAATATTGAAGCCTTATGGCTAATTTGAGCTTTGAAGTGTTTCTGATGTATAAATTGGTGTTATACAAACTTCAACTTGCAGTAGAGTTCATCCAGATGAATAATATTAGGTAAAGAGATGAAAGCCAGTATAAAGTTGGTTAGAGAACTGTGTTTTCAAATTGCTTGTGTTGTGTGCTGCAGATTTTTTTTGTTTGCTGATAGAAATAAAGCAAATGAAATTTATACTGAGAGCAAACAACTTGTATACAGAAAATGAATTCAGTAAATACACAAAAATAGAAAGGGGCTTAAGAGAAATATGTGTTTATTCACTGGATTTAAGGGAGCTGGAGAATCTACTAAGATTTAGTATTTGTCAATACAATCTTAACATAGGATACACAGACAACCCTGTGTTGATGACAGACCCATAAAGGAAACTGTAGGAACTCTGAGACAAAGGTTATTTGTTTAGTGGCATATCAACTCCTTATGGGTCATTTAATGCTGAAATTTAATTTTCTTGGGAGCATTTGTAATTTCTTTTACAAAAAATATATTGCTGGTAATTTTTTTTTTTTCCACAAAAATATATTGCTGGGAATTTTTTTTGCAATGAAAATGTATTTTTTTATTTTCATAGTGTTTTGATCTCAGTTTGGGGAGGGGTAATTATTTGCCCATAGCTGGGACCCTAACAGGTGCTACTACCCAGGGTCAGGGTGAACCTGGGAACAACAGCAATTAAGAGGTGGCTTAGATAAGGTAATAAAAGAAAGCAGGAAGAAAGGACTAAACATCAGTTGCAAGAAGGTAGAATTTATGGTGGTCACTAAGAGAAACAGGCACATCTGTGAGCTGTGATTTGGAGATGTCAAAATGAAACAAGTATGGGAGTGCAAATATCTGGGAAGTGTTTTAACAGCTGACAAAAAAAATGTGACAACAGAAATCAGAAGGCACACTGGTATAGCAAAAGATGCCTTGCAAAAGCTAAGCAAAGAATTAAGAAACAGAAAAATTTAGAAACAAATAAGAGTACTAAATTGTGTAATATCAATTCTATGGCAGTGAATGTTGGACAATCTTACAGATGAAGAAGAGACTTGAAGCAAAAAAATATTATACAAAATGTGAGTAACAAAGAAGTTTAAAGCAAAATAAAAAACAAAAAGGGCTCTTATATTTAGACTGTGAATGAGACTGTTGAAATTTCTAGGATACATAATGAGGAAAGAATGCTTGGTGAATTTGACACTCATAGGGAATATTAAAGGTAGAAGTAGCAAGTAACCTACCTAATGAGCTTGTATAAATGGATTGCAGAACAGGGATTGGTAGGGATAGTGAAAAGACACCTTATTAAGAGTTACAAAGGATAGAAAGTTGTGGAGAGCCATGATCTGCCATGTCTTGAAGGAACATGACACATAAAAGTAATATAATAACAGTGAACATGATCAAAATTGGCATGAAAATAATGTTTTTTGTAACAATCTCAATAGGATTTAGTATCAACGTTTTTTTTTTTTTAATCACCAAGTTTTATTGGTGTTTTATGATTAGACACAACATTTTAAATGTAAAGTGTATCTGCTTTCATTATTTTTTATCTATAAAGTGCTTTTGCATCCATATCTTGAAACCTTCACTATTTGGTAGATATCATGAGTCGTGTAATATATTAGGCCCTTTAGGATATCAATAGTGTATGTAGAACAAGATAGCTTAATAGAGCTCAGACCCCTACAGGCTAGCTTTAATTTATATTTGTCCTCCTCCTAGACTGATTGTTTTATCAATGCTAAAAAATCCACTTTGTTCTATTTAATCCATAGCTGGAGGAAAGTGAATTCATGCCTTTTCCAAGAGCATTAGCGTGAATTAAATGAAACAAAACGAAACTGTCATAATTTGAACCTGGCATATCAATTTTGTTTACTGCACTGATAACTGTTACACTACTCCGACATCCTTAGTAAAATACACAAGCAAAAATGTTGATTGTTAACTGTTCACTCTATGACCTCTTATTTTCCTCTACTGCCATTTCTTATCTTACTGTTCTGACTTGATTGTTTTAGTGGATTAAAAAATGGTTAGATCCTAAAATTGCCTTAATTACCAGCAGAAAATATGAACCTGAAGACCTTTATTCTATTTCTGATAATGTTGCTAATATTTCATTAATTGAATATTTGGTTTTCTTTGTTTTTTTTTATTTCCTTAGCATATACAAAAGCATTTGTAAACAGCTTGCTACTGTAAGCACTGCCAACCGGATGCTTTGTGTACCAGATGCCAGGATTATTGGCGAGTAATTTTGTTGCTACTAATATATTTTTAATTATTTACTGTAACACATACTGTCAGTTTCATCACTAGTTTGAATTGACACCTGGAAAGGGAAAACTTTTATTTTTATGAAACAAAATGATTTTTATCCATGGTGTTATATTGTCATTACACTGAATAAAGATATAGCACAATCAAGAAGTAGTATGTTGTTTGGAGTTGATGTAATCTTGCTGAAATAGACATCTACCTTATCTGCTTACTACCTAACTCTCTACTTGTTTGCTGTTTCCTCTGACGATTCTCAGCATCTGTATTTATGTATTTGGACGAGGCCAAGTCCTTTTTTCTAGAAGTGTATTCATCTCCACAACACCCTACTTTTTAGACATGCATATTCCTTAGTTGATACTTTTTCTGACATGGGTGCACTTTCAATGTTTCAGTTTGATTACATTTTCGCTTACCCTGACATTGTATTGTAATTTCAGTTTTAGGAATAGGTACTTCAGAAGTATTGTAAAGTATCTCTATCTGTAAGTTAAATTGTACTGGTTGCTTCTTCTGTGCATATGTAGACCTCAATTGATTTATATGTTTATGATGAAATCGTCCACCTTCAATGTACATCATACTACCAAGGCACTGAATATTTTTTCCTACCAGCCAATTTTCTTTCCTTTAAAGAAAACTTTGTTGCCAATCTTAAATGATTTGGTAGCTTGAAATCGTTGAACTTTCTTCTTATTCCCTGGCAGTAATTTGTCAAAAATGGATCTAAATTTTCTAACAAATATGAGCTCTGCAGGTGACATTTTTGCAGTGACATTTGCATTTGTTGTCATTTGATACATGCTGAAAAATTCTTGTAATGTTGTTTTTTCATCTTCAGAGCCTTTATTTTTTTCTTATTTCTCTTTTGAAGGTGTCCACAAACCATTCTGCTTGACAATTTGACCTTGGA